GGGACAGGAAGGAAATGAGGGAAGGAGCTACAGCTGAAAACAAGGTGAATAAATTGTAATAAATAATAAATCAATAAAAAAGAAAAATAGAATATTGATGATGGCACTTCAGACAGCCCTTATAGCCATGCCCTGATGGCTAGAATCAACCGCTATCCCTGAAAAGTGACAGCTGCCATGGGCAAGAAGAAAGTCACCAAGAGATCAAAGATCAAGTCCTTAGTGAAATTTTATAAATACAGTCACCTCATGCCCACAAAGCACTCTGTGGACAAGACTGTTGTCAACAAGGATGTCTTTAGAGACCCAGCTCTGAAACATAAGGCCAGGCAAGAGGCCTAGGAATGATACAAGACAGAGAACAACAAATGGTTTTTTCCAGAAGCTTAGCTTTTAGGTTTATTTTTGTTTATATCATTAAAAATGAAAAAAAAGAAGGTGGGTCATAAATGGCATGGACAAAGCCCATTAGAGAGTTTCCATTTCTATCGAAAGACAAGGAGATGGCTTAGTGGACAAAGGCACTTGCAGATTGAGCCTTAGTTTGATCCCCAGAATCCATGAAAAGGTAGAAAGGGAGAACATACTCTACAAGGTATCTTCTGGCCTCATATGAGCTATGCCTCACAAACAATATCTTGTCATCATCATCATCATCATTGTCCTCTTCTCCTTCTCCTCCTCCTTCTTCTCCTTCTCCTCTTCCTCCTCCTTCTCTTCCTCCTCCTTCTTTGGTTTTTTTGAAACAGTATTTCCCTGTGTAAACTCCCTGGCTGTCCTGGAACTTGCTTTATATACAAGGCTGGCCTTGAATTCACAGAGATACACCTGCCTCCACCTCCAAAATTTCAAAGTGCTGGAATTTAAAAGGTGTGCAATACCACACAAGGACCAAACATATTTTCTAGAATTGGCGCTCAGAATTTTGTTCAAATAAAGGATATTTTTTTATAAAAGTTTGAATTCCACTAGGCTATAGAATACATATATTTCTTCAAGATCTGATAATTTTCAGAGCCTCTTTGAAGCTCATTCTGTAAGCGATTGTTTCCTCTCTCTTTCCCAACAGTCACATATCCTCGCTCTTAGGTGAGATTAGTAGCCCTTATTTTCTAGGGCTTAGGAAGACAGTTAAGGGCATTTCTTCAAAACTTCATAGTTACCTCAAGATCCAGCTATACCACTCTTGTGCATATACCCAAAAAAGGTATTCTACACACTACTAGAGAGACATGTGCTCAACCATGTTGATTGCTGTTCTATTCATAATAGCCAGAAATTAGAAATAGCTTACATGCCCATCAACAGAAGACTGGATCAGAAAAATGTAGCACATTTACACAAGGGATATTACTCAACTGTTTTAAAAAATATGAGATTCAAAGGTAATTGGATATAATTAGAAAAAAAGTTCATTCCAAGTGAGATAACCCCAGACCCCAAAAGACAAATATGGGATGTGTTCACTTATGTGTGGACACTATCTTTTAAGCTATCTGAATAACCACAGAGGTTATGTCTAGAGTAAGGAACAAGTGGGGGAGGAAGGATATCCCAGTGAAGGTGGGAACAGAATATATAGTCAGAGAGAAACAGGAGGAATACTGGAACAGGAGGATTAAACCAAGAGGGGCAGGAAAGAGGAGGGTAAGAGAGGAAATGTGGGGACAGAGTGCTAAGAACGTGGGACATTTGAGGAGTCATACTAAAACATACCCTAGAAGCCTCTTAAAATACGTACATATATGAAAGAAATCTAAATGGAATCACCAAATAGTAAGGAAGTCAAAGCCCCAACTAGACATCACTCTCAACCCAGTGAAACCTCCAGTGAGTGCCAGGACCGGGTTACATCTTATCGAGTTGTTGTCAAAGGGGCTCCACAGAACCCCCCAAACAACGTGGGCTGTTACCTAAGCTAGTGGTTGCTCTCCACAAACTTGATGTTAAGGCCCTGTTGCTGAAGACAACATCTCCATAACTCACTGGGCACAGGGAAGTTGAGCTGGTGCCTTCCTGGGACTTTCATTCCTACTGACTATTGTTCATGGTAACTAGAAGGTATTCTGCACAGTACCAGAGGAGAAATCTGAACACCACCCCAGCTCCAAATCATTTGATTGTCAGTGGTGACTTGTCTGCATGATGTGCTAGTGTAATGGTGAGACAAACATTGTGGGAGCAACCAACCTCTGTTGATTACACTTGATGTCCACTTCATGAGATGGAACGCAGGCCTGGCACTGCTCGTGTGACCATGAACCTGAGACTAGATAGGCCATGGACCTAGGGGGAAGCCAAATACTACCATTCTGCTAAAGGAAACATAGTAATAAAATGATTCCTAAGGCTGTTCCCATAAATCGGTGTCTCACTCAGCCATCATCAGTGAAGCTTTCTCCTTCGGCACATGAAAACCAATACAGAGTTTCCACAACTGGACAATGTGCAGAGAGTGAGAGATCTTGAAGCACTTAGATGACACTGGGAAACACTCAGAAACACTGGGAAGTCTCCAAATCCCTCAGGGCTCAGGGAGCTATGCGGAAGAGGAAGCAGAAAGGTTGTGAAAGCCAGAGGGGCTGGATGACACCAAGGAAACAGTACACACAGGACTGACGCACATGTGAACTCACAGAGACCATGATAGAATTCACAGGGCCTGCACAGGTCCAAACTAGATGTGGTCCCAGTGCTGAGATGGAGAAGTAGACACAAGCTCTCATCACAAACCAAAAAACTACCCCCAAGTGATAATTGCTCCCAAAGTAAAAACTGGTATCTCCAGGGAGGGGGGCTCACTGGATACACAAATCACCCTTAAAGACAGGCCCCACACGCAGCAGTATACAAATAATACAAAATGAACTCTATGGCAATTTCGGAGTTTTGGGGGGCTTATATATGTTTTCATGGTGTGTGTGTATGTGTGATATGCTTCTTTTCTCTTTTTGTTTATTAGTTTGCTCATTTTGTTTTATCCTTGTTTGTCTCTTTTATTTGTCTGGCTGCTTTTGTACCAGAAATACAGTGTGGAGTTGGAAGGGTGGAGGAAATGGGGAGGGTATGAGGGGAAAGAATTTAGGTTCAGAAGATATTCTATAAAAATAACTATTGTAAATACAAAATGAAATAAGAAGAGTATTTGGCAAGCCCCACCTGCCCTTTAACTTCCAAGGCATACCCTGTGACCTGTCCCTGCTGACAGCGCTGTCACTGTTGTCCTTGCCTGAGCTGCAGTCACTCCCCTGCCCACCTACCCTCCATCTGATACCCAGGAAGAGAGGTCATTTCCTTTGTGAAAACTTCTCCCAGTTTCCTCCTACACCATTCGACTGACATATTATGCCTCTTAGATGAGGAAGCTATGGTTAAATGATGAGAGCAATCAAGCGCTTTCAAATCAACCCAAACACTGAAGTGTTATTATCAATTAAAGCATTATTTATGAATAACATATTGCAGTGAGAAGACGTCCACAAGGTGAAAACAGATCTGAAAACACTGACCTTGTTACTGTGGCAAAATGGGTGGCACCATGAGAGCTGAAGTGGGGAAACGGAGGTCAGTGATTGTCAGTGCTGTATATTGTTGGAGAGAAGGGACAGGAGTAGAGGAACCTACAGGGACAGACACCTTGTCTCATTAATGGGGATACAGGTGCCAGGAGTCAGCACTCACTTCAGTGTGAAACATGAGTCCTTGAGTGCTCATCTTTCAGTACACAGTGATCTGTGTATGTCACTATGCCAGAGAGGCTCCAAAAGGCCTTCTGAATGCATGAACATGTAAATAATGCACGAATGTGCTGTGTGTGTGTGCATGAGTGTGTGTGTGTGTGTGCGCGTGTGCCTGTGTAGTATTAACACATGTCACCTACCCTCAGTGAACAAAGATGTACTCATATCGAGAGATCAAGGACAATTAATATGTAAGACCCTAGAATCACACTTGGTCTCTCACTAGCCCATTTTACCTGCTATGTTTAGACAGGTTTCCAGAAATGGATCTTCTTTGTCCCTTGGTACTGATGGACAGGGTCTATTTAACTCTTCATATCTCGTCTCCCAGCTTGGATGAGAGTTCTTCTTGGGAAACGTTCCCATAGCCTAAACCTGGATAAAGACAAAGAGAAGCTAACAGTGCTATTGCAGTCTCATGGCAGATAGTTTATCCAAGGCAGAAAGGGACCTCAGAAACCCAGCAAATCCAGGATGGCCTAGAGTTCAAGCAGTGTGGGTGCTGGACATCATCTGTCACTCAGGGTCAGTGAGCCCACCCTCTTTCCAGGAAGCAAGGTGTGTGCAGACAGCAAGAGAATGGATTAGTAAAATCTGCTTATTAGAGGACCACAGAGGACTGTAGGGCTGGCTCAAATTGGAAAGGGCTTCCTTGCTGTGTAAGGGAAGAGGAGTTTCGGTTGAATCCAAGAACCCATGTGAAAGATTAAGATGTGACAGACGTATGTTTGTGATCCCAGCACCAGGGATGTGTGACATGCTTGGTGAACTCAGAACAACAGGAGTCCCTTTCCAAAAACCCAAAATGGAAGGCTCCTGAGGAAGAGCAACCAAGGCTGGCTTCAAGTGTGCAAACACACACAGGCATGTTAGTGTGCACACATAGACACCCCACGTGGCCCTGGTATGTGCTGTGCTTATGTATTTAAGAGGGCCGACTCTTCTTCAGATTAGATGGCTATAAGCTGGGGGAATTCAACAGCTGAAATGCTGAAGAACATATCTTTCACACATGTGCTGTCTGAGATAATGCTGGGACTGTTGCACCAAAGTAATCTAAATAATCTGCTAGGGGTCATAGTCTCTGATTTCTCACACTCTTGACTGCTAATGAAGAGGATGTTGTGAAGCATGAGTCAGATAGCCTCTGGCTTCCTAGAAGTGGAAGGGGTCATATATAAAGATGGAGCTTCCAGGATAGGATACTGGAGCAGGCAAGGAGGGGACCATTAGTGGTCTTCCCCAGAGGAAAAGGACAGCATGCTTACCTTTCCTTTGCTGTGGCTTCTCTGGGGCACCAGTTCTTATGCTTTCCCTGTGTTCCAAGATGGACAGAGGAGAGATGTGGAGACCGTCTGGGTAAGTGAATGCTACATCGCACTTGAGAGCCTTTACTTTGCATCTTTCTATTAGAGCACGATGGCATTTATGGATGGATTCCCAGCTAAGAGAAATGGTGTTTGTCGGAAATGGAACCTTCTCAAAATGTATCTGGTCAAATCTAGGTACCCTTTGCTGGTTGGAGGGGAGGGGGACAGAGTGCAAACCTCGCTTACAAATCTTTTCTACCACAAACTTCACACTTCTCAGCAGTTAGTGGCTGGAGATCTCTGCTCTGAAATAAGGATAACGAGGGTGGTAAAGCCTAATCCAAGCTTTCGGGGTAATTCTCTATTCTGGCTAAAACAATGCAGTATCTTTTTTTTTTTTAATTAAGTGAGAACCATTATCCATTTAGTATTTCAGTAACTTTAAATATTTCTGTGTTTTTAAATGCGCGTATGCACAATGCGTGCACGCACTGTGGGTAAAGGCCAACAGCACCTGAGCCTGGGTTTCTTCACAAACAGTTTCTTAACTGTTGAACCACCTGTGCAGACCCTCGTGGTTCATTAATTTTATATTTCATCAGAAATACCTGGAAAACTACTACAACTTGGACAAGGACACAGCGGTTAAAAACCTAAGTGGCAAGGAGTTGATGGCTGAAAAGCTGAAGCAAATGCAGCAATTATTTGGGCTGAAAGTGACGGGAAAGTCAGATCCTGAAACCCTGCGAGTGATGAGGAAGCCCAGATGTGGGGTGTCTGATGTGGCCCCATATGCCATCAATCACTACACTCCTCGTTGGACAAAAACACATCTGACTTACAGGTAACTCGTTTGGGCATCAAAATGGGGGCGTAATTCCCCCGTTAGAACAGAAGGGAAAAGAGCCATTGTGTTTTCACCTTATTTTTTTTTCCTTCTTAGCATTTTAAACTACCCACCATATCTGTCAAGAGAAGCTGTGGAAGATTCCTTTGAGAGAGCCTTCAGACTCTGGAGTGACGTGACACCACTAACATTCTCACGGGTCTTTGAGGAGGAAGGAGATATTGTGCTAGCCTTCTACAGAGGAGGTAAGCCCTTCAGCTTCCTCTTGCCCTTAAATATCTGCTTTGCAGGAAAAGTTCCTTGTTGAAGAATGTTGTTGATTTTGTGTGCTTGAGGAGAAGAATAATATCACGTCGGACAGAAGTATATTGACTGCTCGGCAAAGCTTTGAGATAACCAACATGAGAACCAAATGAGTTGTTGAATTTTGTCTCTTGCAGACCATGGCGACAATAACCCTTTTGATGGACCTGACTATCGCCTTGCTCACACTTTTCAACCAGGCCCGGGAATTGGGGGCGACGTTCATTTTGATCTTGATGATAGGTGGACTGACACCAATGAGAGTAAGTCAACTGATGCTGCTTCTCGGGGTTCACCTGGACCTTCCTAGCCCATTTGCAGTGTTGGCTGATGTAACGGACAGAATGCATCAGTGGGAGTAGGTAATCTATTACTACACAGAGAATTAGCAGCACATTGAGAGGCATGAAACAGGAGTAAATTCTGATTGATTATCATCCCTGGTAACAAACAGATCACTCTAAAACTTCTCTTCTCTGTTCTAGGTCCTTTGCATACGGGTATTTAGCTTGAGATGTTTCGGGGACTCTTAACAGTGGGAGTGGGGGTTTCCCTGACTCTTTTGTCTGTGCTGAGGACCCTTTTCCTCCCACTAGGTTGCCTCACCCAGCCTTGATATGACGCTTTGTGCCTAATCTTACTGCATCTTGTTATGCTATGTTCGTTTGATATCATTGGGAAGTCTGACCTTTTCTGAAGGGAAAAAGATCTTGGGGAGAGAGGAGGTGTGGGAAGGGGCTTTGAGGAGTAGAGGCTGGGGAGGCTGTGGTCAGAGTGCATTGTAAGAGAAAAAAGACAAAGAAAAAAATTCTGAGAGCTGGTAAGATGCCATTTCTGAAACCCTCATATTTTAAATTTATTTTTGGTAATTTATTCAATTTATATCCCAGTTGTAGCCTCCTCCCTTACCTCTTCCCAATCCTACACTTCCTTCTTTCTCCCTGTTGTTCTCCTCCCCTATTTCTCAGAAATGGGGAGCCCTCCTCTCCTACCATCTGACCCTAGCCTATCAAGTCTCATTCCAACAGAACCAACAAATCTGGGCCCATGGGGGCCTGCAGAGACTGATGTACCAACCAGGGATCATGCATGGAGAGGACCTAAACCCCATGCTCAGATGCAGCTGATAAGCAGCTCAGTCTCCATGAGGGTTCCCGAGTAAGGGAAGCACAGGCTGTCTCTGACATGGACTCTGATGCCTGCTCTTTGATCACTTCCCCCTGGTGAGGTTTATTGCCAGGCCACAGAGAAAGAGGATGCAGAATTCCGAGTTTTGATTCCTGGAACCCATTTAGTGGAAGGAAAGGGATTCCTCTAAGTTGCTCTCTGCCTTCCACACAGACATCCTCAGAACACTTTGTGCTTTCATGCACACTCTCATATATACACACAAACACATACACACACATGCACACAGGCATACACACACACACACACACACACATGCACACTTGCATGTACACATGCCCACAAGCATATGAACACACATGCACACACACTAAACAAATAAGTGTGACAAATTTTCTTTTAAAAAGAAAGAAAGTGTTGAAAGTTTCAATGTGTTGCTTATGGCCCTGGAATTTTCTTTTCAAGAAATATGCAATAAAACTTAAGAAATTCCTTATTAAACTTGGAAAAACTAAATAAGAAAAAAAAGTGAATTTATACTTTCCAGGTTTTACAGCACTGAGCAGCTATCACCTTTGTAAGTAAGAAAAAGTACAAACTGTTAGCAGCTCTTCATTGCTCCGTGGAGAAGGAACTCATCCCAGTTCAGGGTGAACATGGAATCCTCTGAGCTGGACCTTAAGTTAATAAAAGCTTTATGTACCAATGTAATCCTAGAGTGTAGGCTAGACTGTACCTCTTTATTATTTTTTTTAATTTTTTTATTACAATTCATTCACTTTGTATCCTGGCTGTGGCCCCCTCCCTTGTCCCCTCCCAAACCCGTCCTCCCTCCCTCATCTCCTCCCATGCCCCTCCCCAGTCCACTGATAGGGGAGGTCCTTCTCCCCTTCCTATGACCCTAGCCTATCAGGTCTCATCAGGACTGGCTGCATTGTCTTCCTCTATGGCCTGGTAAGGCTGCTCCCAGCCACCTTAGGGGGAGGTGATCAAGGAGCCAACCACTGAGTTCATGTCAGAGACATCTGTTCCCCTTACTAGAGAACCCACTTGGAGACTGAGCTGCCATGGGCTACAACAGTGCAATGGTTCTAGGTTCTCTCCATGCATGGTCCTTGTTTGGAGTATCAGTCTCAGAAAAGACCCCTGAACCCAGATATTTTGGTTCTGTTATTGTCAATACATGCACACTCCCACCATCAGAAAAAGATTATATAGATTTATGTGTATTTCAAAAAGTGACCAAGAAGATGTACGCATTCACCCTGAAAGATTATTTCTTTACCAAATACCTCAAAACAGTACAAACTTTCCAAATTAGAAACAAATCTCTTCTTCCTTCCAGATTTCAACTTGTTTTACGTTACGGCTCATGAACTGGGTCACGCCCTTGGACTCACCCATTCTTATGATATAGGGGCACTAATGTTCCCCAGCTATACATGGTACACTGAGGACTTTGTGCTAAACCAGGATGATATTAATCGCATCCAGGCTTTATATGGTAAGTGAAGGAGCCGTTAGCAGCACAGCCGGAGGCGTTTTCATTCTTCAGGTGAGCTTTCAGAACCATGGAAACTAACTCCAGGTCTCTTACACTCTTTAGGGCCGTCCCCAAATCCCATCCAGCCAACTGGTGCAACAACTCCAACTCCATGTGATAGTCGTCTGACCTTTGATGCCATAACTACATTTCGGGGAGAGGTGATGTTCTTTACAGGCAGGTAAGATATTTCTTTTATGCTGGGCTCTGTGTTTCACTATTGTAGGCTACCAATATGGCTCGTGTGTTAACCTTACTGTAGGTGGTAACAATTGCTTGCATTTCTTTTTCTTTCCTTCTTTCTTTCTTTTCTTCCTTTCTTTCTTTCTTCCTTCCTTTCTTTCTTTCTTTCTTTCTTTCTTTCTTTCTTTCTTTCTTTCCTTCCTTCCTTCTTTCTCCTTTTTTACAACTTTAATGACTCTGATTTTCCACATGAATTATTCAAAGTATCACTGTAATGTAAATGTAATGTAAATATAATATAATTTTATGGATAAGTAAATTATGACAGGGAAAAAAAGAGTGTTCCTCTGGGACACAGAGCTCATGGGTGGCAAAGCAAATATTATTCCCCTGGCCCCTGATTCAGAGCTTTTTGGGGTTGTCAATCTATGTGTTAATGATTATGATGGTACTTAAAATTCCCTGTCAGTGTGTGGACCTGAAAACATGCTGGTCCCCTTCCACACAAGGACCACGTGTGCTGTCCACACCACAATAATTTGTAAAGGTCCAGGCCACATTATAGCAGAGCCAGATGCTCCCCTCTGAATAGTGATCAGAGGCGCCCTAAAAGTCTGGATTCCTCAATCACTCTTCTCAGAGTGTAGTTGGTGCCATCCAGCTATGGGGCTGTATCAACACCCAAACTCAGCTACTGGCTCCAAATGCTTTCTAGTATCTTCCTTACCACTTTTTGAGAATAAAAGATAAGGATGGATCCTTCATGATGAAAAGCATGCATTGAAACATAGCCTTAAAGGAAATTTCAAGGGCTGGGAATGTGCTTCAGTAAGGAGGCCTAGGCACAGAGTCCTGGGTTGGGTCTAAAGCATCAGACCTGTAATAAAAGGTCAAGGCGGGAGCTTCAGAAGTTCAAGGTTGGGCTGGATATACACTAAGCAGTTAAGAGCACTTGTTGCTTTTGTGGAGGACCTGTGTCTCTAGCACTCACATGGCGGCTCCCAACCTCTGTGGGCATTGAGCAAGCACATGGTCCACAAACATACATGAAGGCGAGATACTCGTACACATAAAATAAATGAATAAATAAGAAAACGTTTAAAGAAGTTCAAGGTAATTATTCTGAAGGTTGGCCTGGATTACTCTGTTTTGAAAAGGCTGAAAAAGAAAGCAGGATGTAGGTAAGCCCAGTTGTAGGTTGAGCCGTTATTCTGTATTTGTCCACATCCATGCATTCGATTAATCACAGATCTGTGAAGCTAACCAATGCTTTTAAATTCGCCACTGTACTGAGTTTTCTTGCTGTTATACCAAAATAATATTGGATGGTAAGTATTAAATAGCATTATAAATATTCTTATTTAAAGCAAAGACAAATGTTCATAGTTATATATATTATGTTTTATATTTGAGATTACAGTATAATTACTCATTCCCTTTCTTCCTTCAAATTCCTCCCATACTTCCCTCCTTGCCCTTGCTCTCTTTCAAATTCATCCCTCTTTTTATTCATTGTTTTACATACATCTATGTATATGCCTATGCAAATCTCTAAATATAACGTGCTCACTCTGTATCCTGACACTTGTATGTATATTTTTAAGGCTGACAATTTGGTATTGGATGACCAATTGGTGTGCTTTTCCTTGGAAAAGATATTTCTCTTGCTCTCAGCGTTTCTTAGTTGCCTGTAGTTTTTTGTGTAGGGCTGAGGTCTTGTGGGCCTTACCAGTCCATTTTGACAAGTCTGTTGTACTTGTTCGGCTCATGTTTAGGTAGTCATATTGGTGAGGCTTTACAGGTGTAGCTTCTGACATTCCTGTGAGACACGATCTCACAGCAAACTTCCTGGTCCTCTGACCCTTGTAATCTCTCCACCTCCTCAGTGTTCCCTGAGCCTTAGATATGGGAGTGTTTTGTGAAATAGCCAGTGGAACTGAGCTCCACAATGTGGCATTTTGATAAGTTGTGGATTTCTGTAGTGTTCTCTGTCTGTTACAATGATAAGTTTCCTTGTTGGCGGTGAAGACTACATTTATCTGTGGGTATAAATACAAATATTTAGAATGTAGGAGGAATTATACTTAGTTTAGTCAAATAGGTTCTTGACAGAGTGAACCCTGGCATAGTATATCTCTTAGTGAGCAGGTCAAAAGTACAAATAGAGAGCTGTTCGTTGCCTTCCAGGTATGAATGCCACTAACTTCAGCCTTAAAGTTTTAGTACATGCTGGTTGTTATTGTGGTTCATAACTACCATAGCTGGAGAGGACTGTTGCTTCCTCCCTCCTTTGGAAGCTTGCATGGCACCTTCTGATCCTCAGGGATGAGGCTTTTGAGTTAGTTTTAGCTCAAGAGCCTCTAAGCCCTATGTCTAAGTGCATGCCGTCTTCAGCAACAAGGTTTTATCTCTCATCTCTTGGGGGCAACCGAGGACATTTGCAATAGCGTATAATGTTTCAGGAGTCTCTCGGACAACCCTGACCAAGAACTCAAAAGAGGTTTCTCATGCCCTCTGTTGGGAGTTTTGTTGGGTCGTCTTTGGCTCTTGGCGAGAGCATTGTCAGGGCAGGTGAGAAAATCTTACTTAAGTTTTTTTATACACAGACACGTGAATTACAGGCTTTTTCTTAGGAAGATAGTCAGAAGTATGATTTCTTATTACATCTTTAGACATCCCTACTGTTATTTATCTTCCTCCCTCTTTCCGTATTTATCTCCTCCCTCCCCTAATTATAGCTACCCCTTTCTAATTTTTCTGATCAAATCACTTGCACCCTACTATTCTCCTCCTTATTACCCTGCTACCCTCCTACCATGGCAATGGCTGCTCTTCGCTTTCCTGGCTCCTGCAGTTTCTCCAGGATATGGACTCACATCTGAAGACTTGGAGCTAGAGACCCCAATGAGAGGACATGTGTTGTTTTTCTTTCTGGGTTGCCCCACTCAGTGTGATCTTCTCTAGTTCCATCCATGTATCTGCCAAGTTCATCGTTTCATTTTTTTTCCTTACAGCTGAATATTATTTCATAGCGCACATGTACCACGTTTTCAATATCCGTTCAGCAGTTGACGGACATGTAGGTCGTTTCCATTTCTTAGCTACTGTGAATACAGCAGAAATGAACATGACCAAGCAAGTATCTATGGGCATATGCCAAGAAAGGATATAGCTGGGTCGTGTGGCAGATTTTTTTTTTTTTTTTGTCTTAGAATTCTTCACACTGATTTCCATAGTGGCTATACCAGTTTGCATCTCCTGCCAACAGTGAATGAAGGTTCCCTGTGCTCCCTTTTCCCAGCCCCCACACAGCATTTGTTATGCATTATTTGGTTGATCTTTGCTATTCTGACTGGGTTCAGATGAAATCTCAAAGGTATGTTTATCTGAATTTCTCTAATTGGTAGAAACAATGGGCTTTTTTTGAGTCATTCCTTAGCCATCGTTTTTTGCATCTTTTGAGATTCTCTGTTCAGGTCCCAGGCCCATTGGTGAATGTGTCATTTCAGGTTTTGCTGTTGTTTCTTTTTTAATTTTTATTTATTCTGTATATTAGTCCTCTTAATGTATGTGTAGCTGGTAAATATTCTCTCCCATTTGGCCGGCTTCTTCTTCACATAGTTGATTGTTTCTTTAGCTGTGTTTAGTTTAGAAGGTGTTTAGTCTTATGAAGCCTCGCCTTACAGTTGTTGGCTTTAATTCTTGACCAAATGGAGTCTTACTCAGGAAGCCCTTAGCTGTATCTTTACCATGTAAAGGCACTGTCTGTGTTTTCTTCTAGCACCTTCAGCATTTCAGGACTCGTGTTTAGGTCTTCAATCTATTTGGACTTACTTTTGTGCAAGGTGATAAATATGGGTCTGTGTATTGTGTAAACTTTCAGTTTTTCCAGAAACATTTGTCGAGGAAACCTTCTTTTCTTCAGCATGGTGGCTTTGCCAAATATTAAGCGTCTCAAGTTACTCACGTTTGATTCCTCAATTTTGTTCCAATGGTCTGCATGTCTGTCTCTATGTCAGTACAGTATTGTTTTTACTACTATGGCTCTGGAATATGTCTTACGACCTGGAATGTTTGTCCCACCAGCATGGCTATCTGGGGTCTTTTGTGATTTCATATAAAATTTAGAATCTTTTTTTTTTCTTTTTCTGTGAGGAACGAGATGGGGATTTTGATTGGGATTGCATAATCTGTAAGTAGCTCTTGATACGACTGGCATTTTTATAATGCTATTTCTACTAATCCATGAGCATGGAATGTCTTTCCATTTTCTAATATCTTTCTCTACCTCTTTCTTCAGAGGTTTAAAGTTTTCTTTATTTTTTACAGTTTAACAAATGCTGTTGTCCATTTTATCAAAAGTAGATTTTTTTCCCCCTCACATAATGCATCCTAATTCCCTTCCCCACCTCTTCTCCCATCTAGTTCCACTCCCTTTCTGGCTCCTATTGGACAGCAAGGGGTTCCTAAGGGGTAAAAATAAAATACAATAAAATATAATTAAGAAAATAAAACAAAACAAACACATCAAAGTTGGACAAGATAAGTAAACAGAAGAGTAGGGGCCCAAAAGAAGGTACAAGAATCGTAGACCCACTCATTTTCACATTCAGGAATCTCATAAAAACACTAAACTAGACCCATGCAGCCCCTGTGTACACTGCCCAGTCTCTGGGAATTCATGTGATTATTCATAGGATCATAAATCATAAATAATCATAAGTGTTGATTTAAAGTACCTTGTTTTGGTGTTTCCAATTGCCTCTGGCTTTTTAAATTTTTTATATTAGTTTATTTACTTTACATCCTGAGAATGCCCCTCCCTCCTCTCCTCCCAGTTAACCCCACTTCCCCTCCTTCCCTCTTCTCCTTTCCCTTTCTCCCTAGAAAAGGGGAGCCCCCTCCCTTCCATCCCTCTGTATTAACCTTCCCAGCACATCAAGTCCCATCAAGACTGCTCTTATCTTCATCCCCTGAGGCCAGGCCAGGCAGTCCTGCCAGGGGGAAGTGATCCAAAAGCAGGCAATAGAGTCTCTGTTAGAAACAGCACCCTGCCCCCCCCCCCCAACTGGCCAGGTGCCCCACATGAAGACCAAGCCGCCCGTTGGCTGTTTTTATACTCTTTAAGGCATATCGGATACTGTTTGGTTGCTCTCACAAGCTTTGTGCCAACATTGCACTCGCATATCTTACCGGCAGGAGGACACCATCGTAGTCAAAGGATTTGCGGCTGGGTTGGCGTTTACATTTCGTTTATGGTAGCATGCATGGTACCTTCTTGTACCAAAGATTTTAGTGGTGAAGTCTCTGTGTAGGCACCGTCTCAATTTCTCCGTGTTCAATGAGTTGAGTAGGTGTTATCTTCAGCAATGGGGACTTGCTGTGGGAAGTAAAGAGGTTTAAAGCTTTCATTGTAGAGGCGCTTCACTTTTTTGGTTAGGCACTTTCTTTTCTTTGAGGCTCTTGTGGATGTGTGACTGAACCTAGATATTCATCCCTTTCTTTTAGGTTTATCAGCTTAATGGAGTAGAGGTCTATTTAAATATTCCCTTATAAAATTCTGAATTTCTTTGGTGTCTATTGGAGTGTTTCTTGTTCTAGTCTGATTTCATTAATTTAGGTTCTCTTTTTCTTTCGGTTGATTGAACCAAGAGACTGTCACTCTTGTCTATATCTTCTCAAAGAATCACAATTGATTTGAATTACAAATCAATTCTTTGTATTGTTTTTGTTTGTTTGTTTCTATTTTATTGATTTCTGCTCTGAATTTTATTACTTTTTATTTGGTTTGCTTATGTTTTTCTAAATTTTTGAGTGGCATCGTTAAGTTATTTTTCTGTGCTCTTTCTGATATTTTTAATGTAGGCACTTTGAGCTATAAATTCCCTCTATAGACTGCTTTCAATGTGTCACAGGGGCTTTATTGTGTTGTGGTTTTGTTTTCATTTAGTTCCAGGATTTTTAAAATTTATTTCTTAATTTCTTCTTTGAACCATTCATCCTCATTCAGTAATGAGTTATTTAGTCTCCATGCGTTTGTGTATTTCCTAGAGATTTGTTTGCTCTCGATTTTAAGTTTTATTGCTCTGTGGTCAGATATGATGCAATGAGTTATTTAAATCTTTTTGAACTTATAAATATTTGTTTTGTGCCCCAGGATGTGGTCAATTTTAGAAAAGCTTCCATGTGCTGCTGAGTATGATGTGTATTCTTTGGTCTTTGGGTGGAATATTTTGTAGATATCTATTAAGTCCATTTGATGTACAATAACAATTAGTTCTGATGTTTCTATGTTTTATTTTTGGTCCAAATGACCTGCCTATTGGAGAAAATAGCATATTTAATAGTTTTGTTAATGGATTGATTTTAATTTCTATCTTTAAATCCAGTGGTACATTTTTTTGAAAGATAAAATTGGTGCCCCAGAGTTTGGTGCATATATGCTTAGGATAACACTATCTTCTTGGTTAGCTGTTCCCATGATTAGAATAAAGTGTCCAGCTTTATCTCTTATGATTAGTTTTAGCTGAAGTCTATTTTGTCAGATATTAGGATACTCACACCTTCTTGCTTTCTTGTCCCACTTGATTATAATTTTTGTCTATTCGTTTACTCTAAGAAGATGCTTATGTTTAAAGATAAGATGCATTTCTCGTAGACACCAGGTAGAGTGATTGAGGTTTTTTTTTTTTAATCCAGTCAGTCAGAAGAGGCTGGAGGTTACTGGGAGACCCACTGACAACTGCATTTTCTCTTCCTTTCAAACCAGGTTCTACATTCGTGTAAATAGATTCATGCGGGAACCTGAGCTCAATTTGATAGGTATTATCTGGCCAAATGTGCCAGGTAAACTTGATGCTGCTTACGAAGCTAGCATGATGAATGAAGTCCGCTTTTTCAAAGGTAATGCTTCTAGTTGGTTCTTTTTGTTTTTATAAATAAAATTTTCATTCAGCTTTGGGGTGAGATAAAAGGGTATTAGCTCCATTCACTGCACGTACTTTTGAGTGTCACCAAGTTAATGGAAGCCCCTCAGCTTAATTAAAAGTTATATTGTATATTCAGCATAATTTTTATTGACAAGTAGATGACTAAAGATATAGCTCTTTAGGCTTGTTTAAGACCTTGCAAACAAAGAACTGTGTTTTGAACTTCCTTCATTGCACTAGGAGTGCTCAGAAATAAAATTGAGGGACACGAGCAATTCTACAAGAGATAGCATAGAAAGATTTTGTGTGCGTAGTTTCCTAGACCCCGTTTTAATGTGACACATCCTCTTGAGAGAGAGAGAAGTCGTCCCCAGGAAGCAGACGAGGCACTGCTGCCTGCTTCTCCCAGTGTGCTGGTAGCATGTTCCCATGGTAACATGTTCCTCTGACTGCCATTCCACTGCTTTTTTCTTGGTGCCATTCTGTGTGGCAGTGAATATGAAATTGCCGTTTTACTAGAAGTCAGTCATGTTCGCAGGGCCCTCTTGCTGTCGAAGTCCTGCCCTGGAAAACAAAACGCCCTCTCAATCTCACCACGAAACTTCCCTGAGAGAATCTAAATCTTAGTAAGTTTTCCAGACGACTCATTCACAGATGAATGCATGAGAAAATCCAAGTCACTGTTGACAGAATTCAATGAGTCTGTGGGATTCAGTGAGGTCAAAGAATCTAGCACGTGCGACTTTGAAGACCATGTCTGACACACATGTTTTCCACCAATGCGTTTGGTACAGTGCAAATAAAGCACGGGGATGTTTTATGCAGTTACACACTCAAAACAAAGACGTGAGTGTAGTTCAGACTAGCACAACCCTTTGCAACAGTATCTCTGTCCTTCAACATATGGAATTAAATAGAAGTTTACGTACACAGCGTTAGGGCACCATTTTCATGTCACCTAGACCTAAATATAAGCATGTTTGTGAACTAGCGTGGCCTTAGCTTCAAAACAGATCAATTTCCTTTGTTGTATAGCGTAGGGGCTGTAAACAGACAGCCTCTTGAAGCTGCAAAAATTTACATATCTACTTAGTAAAATGCTGTTGCACTTTGCTACTGCTTTGGCCGCCTAGAAATTCTGGTTCTATCTGTCTTTGGAAAGCAGCTTCAACTGGAATAGTGACAAAAGAGAGAGAGAGAGAGAATTTTTAGAACTTGTTACAGATTAGAAAGGCCCAGTGAGAGGAAAAGGTCTTCTATAACCCAGGCTAGGTGGCTCATGCCTTTAAACCCCAGCATTTAAGCGACTGAGGCAAGGAGGATTGCTGCAAACTGGAGGCCAAGCCTGGTTATGTAGCGAGCTGTAGACCAGACTAAGTTCCTTGTCTCAAAAACAAACAATCAAATAGACAAAAAAAAAAGCAAACAAACAAACAAACAAACAAAAGCAAACACTTAATCGGTTTGAGACTGAATCCCCAGATACCAGCATTTAACAGAGAACAAGGCACCCACCCCATCCTTCCCCCCCCCCCCCCCCCCCCCCCCCGCAGGGGCAGCATGGTTGCAGTCTGTAGCTAGGACACTGCTCCAGCCTGTGGAGCTTGGCTGGAAACGTCGACAAGGAGTTCATCTGTGGCTTTTGATTGGCAGGTGATAAGGTCTGGGCTGTTCGCACACAGAGTGTCCTGAGAGGATTCCCCATCGATATCCACAGCTACTTTGGCTTCCCTAGCTACGTGACCCAAATTGATGCCGCTGTTTGTGAGGAGGAAACTGGGAAAACATACTTCTTTGTTGACGATATGTGCTGGAGGTAAAGGCTGAGAGCTGAATGGGGTTAGAGCCACAACTTGTTTCTATACAGAAAGATCTTAAAATGAGTTTCAAATGATGGTGGCCACTGACTTCTGTGTGAATAGATGTGGCCACTCACCATCCGTTAGTCCGTAGACTCGCAGGCATTGCTCGTGTTTGCACAGGGCATACAGTGAGCCCCAATGGGAAAGTAAGGGTATTCAATTTCCTGAGTTACATTGGCCTAAACCTAACCATTCACACAGCGTTTTACCTTAAGAGAACATCTGTCTAGTTCGTTGGATTTTAGAGGGACCTTTTGCATATTTTGATACACCTAACTTTTTCTCACCCAATTCATTCTTTTCTAATCTCGAGAATTGAGAAAAATTTTTGACAATCCATGTTGTTGTGTTTTCTGTAAATATTTTAAGAAATCTGCATGCTTGATCAAAGGTCCTGATACATTTAACCACTTTTTGATCAGGTATGATGAATACAGGCGGTCCATGGATCCAGGCTATCCCAAAGCAATAGCAGAGGACTTCCCTGGAATTGGAGATAAAGTTGATGATGTTTTTGAGAAAGACGGTAAGAGTATAAACATACTTTCTCTTTTAATATTGTTACAATATTAAAATAGTGTTGCTTTTTAGACAGAAAATGTAAAAAATAAATATGTATATTGATGGCATGAAGCACTCAGAATTGAGTCACAATCTGGAAATACATGTATAATATAATAAATATCTTTTGTTGTATTTCTAGGAAATTTCTACTTCTTTCACCAAAATATTCAACACAGATTTAACCTCCGAACGAGAAGAGTCGATGCTACCCGTGGCTCTCAAACCTGGTTCAACTGCTAAAAATATTGGCAAGTTAAGGAAAAAAGTTTATCTCATGATCTTAAACAAGATATTCTTCTGAAGAGCCAAATATTTTGGCAAACTGTTATCAAGTTAATGGAAATACATATCCTGTAATGTTAAAGAGGATAGTTTTCTCAGGAGCCAAATATTTTTATATTTTTATTTACCTTCCAGAATCACTAAGTACAAATTAATTTATATTTTATTTTGTGCATTTTTACAAGTTATAGTATAATCTTTTTGAACTAAAACAGCTTAGTACCGCAATTGACAGCCTCAGAAAGTTGAGTTCGTGGTTGACAAGTCACTGAAGGAGGCCATTTGTACAGTGTGTGACTGATGTTCACCCTAGGCAGCTCCTTTCGAGAGAGGAGGCTCAACAGAGAAGCTTTTCCCAGAGTAAAAGTGGCTCTTGAACCCAGAAACAGGTATATAAGAGGAAACTCGTTGCTGCTTTGGTTTTGGCAGTTTAAGGCAGGATCTTACAACCCAGCGGACTCCCAACTCTTCTACCTCTGACTCCTGCATGCTGGGATTCCGCCCACCACGCCCAGCTAAAAGACATTGGTTTTGTACGAAAGTATTTGATACTTAAATAAAGCCATTCTTGTCTCTAATGCCTTATAAGTTATCTGCTTCATTATATTATTGCCTGATTGTCAAGCCTCACTTGTATAAGTGTCGTTTTTCTAATTTAAAATGGAAAACAAACAATAACAAAAATAGTCATGAGAAAACTAGTCTATCCAAAAATTTTAATTTTCTACATTCTTGTAGAGTTTGTGCTATGTCGAGATGAGTTGTTTCTCTAGTCCCTTTATCTCAGACAGGAAATCTAAGCATGGCTTAAAGGTAAAGTAAGCGAAAGCAGGAAAGATTTGTCTACGTGGATGCCACTTCACCACTTAAGCAAATGGGAGAGTCACATTTTCCCAAAGTCGGACTTCTTGCCGCTGCTGGGATTTGAGGGTGGTGGCCAGCCAGCAGGCTGTGTGGAGAAATGATAGCACCAAATCTCCAGATTTAGATACCATGGAAGCAGCTCAGGATATAACTAACTGCAAAGTTGGACTGCGGAGGAGGGGGAGGAAGGATCAGAGGAACAGGAGGGTCTGGGGTTTGGGAACACTGCTCACAGAATCAACTGACTCGTGGGGACTCATGGGGACATGCAGAAGTCAGGGATCCTGTAGGGGTCTGACCTAGGTCCTCTGCATATGCTGTGGCTGAGTATCTTATTCCAGATGGACTAGCGTGTGGACAAACCTGAAAATCTTGAAGTCCACTAAGACAGCACCAGAGGAGGGCAGCCTGCTCTGACCCTGAGTGACTGCGTCTGAGATTACACTTCCCAGAAAATGCTTGACCACTTCTTGCTGAAGATAAATAGGTCGTTCCTGGGGATAGTTTAAATCATGCCTGCAGCAGGATATGCTTCGTAAAGCAAAGGAATTGTGGCTCCTGATCCTTATTAATTCTCATCAAGGGCCAAAGCAACGTGCTCGGAGTGGATCTTAAAAGCACTGGATAATTATGTATGTGACAAGGCTGCAAGGCTAGATGGGAAAGAACTAACTGAAACGGGTACCAGTAAGTTGGGATTGGTATTTCAGAAAGGAATCCAGGAGGTTTTCAGATGTGCCATTCACATGTTAATGTAAACATCATGGACACAACAGTGTTCCATGGTACATGATGGAGAGATCAAAACTTCTGTCTCACCGTGTGGAGTCGACAGCCAGAAGGTGCCCGGAGCCTAGAACTGCCACTGAATTTGTTACATGGAAATGAAGCACTCTGCACCAGACTAGGGTCTTTGGGAAGGTCCAGATGGCAGTTTTTACTAAAACTATAAGGTATACATTAGACCGGGAAATACTGGTGTCTGAGGTGCTTACACGTGTGTGTCCACGCACACACACCTGTGGAGATCAGACAGCAGCCTCAGTATTCAGTTTTCATGTGCCATCCACTTTCCTCTCTTCCTTGAGACAGCACCTCTCAGTGGCCTGGAACTCACTAGGATTTCCTGGGCTGGCTGACAAGTGAACCCCAGAGATTCTCCCCAACTTCCCCAGCGCTGGAATTACAATCACAAACTACCCTGGTTTTATACTGCAACTGATGTTTGCAAGTGCTCAGACTGAGCTATTGCCCCAGCCCCGGTTACACTGTTTCTGTTTTTATTGTTCTCTCATATATTGCATTGCAACTATAGTTGCCTCTCTCTGCCCTCCCCACAAGACTATCCCCACACCTCCTCTCTCCCTCAGGTCCACTCCCCGCCCTGCCCCCCCCCCCAGAAAGAGCAGGCCTCTCAGGGAAATCAGTAAGACCAGCCACATACCATTACATGAAGATTGGGTCAGGCACCCCTGATTTCTGCAAGTCCCCACGAGTGAGTTTATTCTGTGAGCAGTGCTCTCGGGGTGTCCCTGACCCTGCTGTTCTTCTGATCCTTCCTCCCCCTCCTCCGCAGGACTCCCCAGCTTCACCTAATGTCTGGCTGGTGCTAAACTCCAGTTCCACAACACTCTGCAGGCAGGACAAACTGTGACTCGAAGGTTTTGTGGTGTCCCAATGCCTCCTCTTGAGGCCTTGCCTGGTTACAAAAGATGACAGTTCAGGCTCCGTGTCCCCCCATTACTGGCAGCCTTTGCTCTATGAATATTCAGTAAATTCAATAAATAATAACTTACTTAAAAGCAAACAGGACTTCATAGCCCCTCTTCTCCAGGTGTGGTAACTCACTCCTGGGAGGCACGTCCTTTCATGGTTGATTGACTTCAGCCACAACCATAGCTCTCTGATATATAAAGAACCATCAGCAGGATGTGCCACACGAAGGGCATCTCAGAACACGTCAAGTGAGCACCTCAGGGCACACTTAGGACCCCGCCCAGCCAGCAAGCTCTATCTTTTAAAGACACATGAATAAAATGAAAAGGAGCTTGCAGCCAGCATGACGTATGCATAAACACTAAGAGTGGGGTTATCCACACCGTAGGAAATGTGATCACGAGATGACATTATGGATTTGCTCAAGCCTAGCTGACTCTGAGTCTGCTTGTAGTCAGCTTCCTTGCCTCTGATATTCAGGTTGGTTTATTCTCTGCAGAGCACTTACGCTAAGACACAAGCTGACTTGTCTGGCCCAGTGCACGCACGCACACACACACACAAACACACACACACACACACACACACACACACACACACACACACCAACCCAAGCTGCTTCTCAGAGGCCTCCGAGTGGGTTTACAGAGGTCTCTCCTGCCATGCCTACCTCTAGGAAGGCAGTAGACAGCACTGAAAAGGTCACTCCTTTACTTTTGCTGCTATCCAAGTAATTGGAGATTTCATACTTCAGCTGTTGCAGGCTTGCTTTCTCGTCACTGGAAGAAAAATGTACTTCAAACATTTTGGCACCTTCTAATCTCTCCATATTCAGAAGCTAGCTTGTGGGGCTGATAGACCGTTTGGTATCTAAGAGCACTTGCTGCCCCTCCAGAGGACCTGTTCAGGTTCCTAGCACCCTCATGACAGATCACAGCCACCTCTAATTCCAGTTCCAAAGGGCGGGATTCTTGCTTCCAGCCTCTGAGGGCACCTGCACACACATGGCACATGCACACAGAAACATGTATACATACACACGAATAAAACAAACTACGTATTTAAAATAAGATAATTTTGACTTAACTGTAGGCTCTCTCTGTTTGAAGAGCACCCTGCTGGCCAAGGGAGATAATGAAAATGCTTTTTATGAGCAATGATCCCTGAAGAGGAAGGACTGGAAATTCCATTGTAAACCCCACTCTAGTTCAGTTGTACTTTAAAAATTAAAGTATTAAAAAATTAAAAAGCAAAGAAGAGGAAGGGAGTAGGAAGAGCATTTTCATTTAATAGACACCTGGGCTTCTCACCTCTGTACCTTGTCTCCTCAATGCTGACTGCCTGCCCCAGTACTCTCACCCGGGCCCATAAATCCACCTGAAAATCAGTAGTACCTGTCACACAAGGACTCGAAAAATGGAGTTTCTGTCATTATATCTCCCCAGCTAGCAGTCCTCACAGTTACATTTTGAATCTCTTTCCATTAATCTATTTATTCCTTGCCTGCAGGTATGTGAGCCTAACATGTGTTGTTTAAAAAAAAAAATACACTGCTTTCAAGATATCTAAATATTCTACAAACATTTCCTTTTCCTCCTTACAAACACAGAAGCCACATCCGTGAGATGACGCATTCTTTCACGTTTAGTAGTTGGAGGGATTCCTGATGTAAGCCGTTTGTCTTCATGCTGAGTTTTGTGAATGCACTTGCAGTCATTCAGATTAAAAATAACACACATGCTGTGTCATGCTGTTAGAGACCTAAACACTGACTCCCTATAAAAGGGTGGCCACTAAAGCGAAGATGTGCACGTCGGGAGCTAGAAGAGGATTGTTTTCCCAAGTAACGGCTGTCCTGCTGTCCCTATGGAGCCCCTGCTCATCCTGATGTTGCTGTGCCTGCCAGTCTGCTCAGCGCGTCCTCTGAAAGGGGCAATAAGGCAAGACCACACAGACATGGATCCTGCTCAGGTAATCAGTGAGGTGATGTGCTTCAATCCTGGGGTGGGACAAGAGTACCCCTTGGTGTTCCAACAGGAGTAAATGACTTCATTAGAAGCTGTGTGGTAAAATATCAAAAAGTAAGAGGTAGAAACTCCATCTTTACAGAGAAGGAAAGAGACACGAGGAAGGAGGATCACTCAGGCTGGATAATGGCAGCAGCACAGTGGAAAGTGACAATGGGAAATGGATGAAATTTCTTTTGCTTTAGAACTATGATACTTAAAATACTCATGGAGGAAAGATGTGGCTATATTTACCTAATATAACTTCAAAAACAATCCATACTCTAACTTTTCATTTATAAAAATAAATTTATCTAACATCACTCAACATGAACAGGCTTATGTTGCTAATAGAAATGAAAAAACTTAGAT